TGGGGGGGGGGGGCATGATGATGATGGTGGTGTCGACAATGTCAATGATGTTGGTCTTAGCCTTGGATCACCGTGACGACGATGTTGGCATGAAGACGACGATGATGATCGTGATGAAAGTGGTCGTGAATGTGATTATGACAATGAAAACGATGCTGTGAATGATGGTGGTGATGATGATGATGGTGTAAATGACCATGAAAATAATCATGGACACGCTGGTGGCAATTATGGTGGAGATGTTGATGTTGGTGATGGTGGGGATGATGATGATGAAGATGACGACGATGCTGATGATGAGGCTGCTGATCATTAGGATGATACTAGCACCGATGACTAGCTGACCAGCGGCAACTGGCGTTTCCTGTTGCGTGTTGTACTGCTTCAGTTGGTTCGATTCGTTGATCAATGCTAATCACGTTTTGCGTTCAGAGTTTGCGACTCCGACGGGAATAGGCCAAGAGGAATCCTTTTTCGGGCTGTCCATTGGAGCTGAGCTTGGCAATGCTATAGGTCGGGGCCGGGGCTGACGCAGATTCAACCTAAGGTAGCCAGAGAGCATGAAAAAGGGATCCTCCCTGATAACTCCTGAAGAACAAGTTTCGCCTCAGCACTAGCACGGAGTATCGTACCTGCCAGCCTTGCAACAAGCCTGGCACTGGCTGCCAATCCGCTCTTAACCCCGCTGTGTACTTTCGGGATCCCTGAACCGCCTGAACCGCCTGAACCTTGTTCCGCTGGCAGTCACTTCGTGCAGACCCTCAGATCAAAGATGCCGGAGGCTGACATAAAATGAGCTGCTGGGTTCTTGGAGTTTAGTTTGAAGATGTGCTTCTGTGTTTGGAACTTAGGGGCTCCGTCGAAGGACAGATCTCAGAATTGTAGATTTTAGACGAGGTTTTCATGGCGCAGCTCTCAGCATGCGGTGAGGTTCCGATAGAGATTAGAGATGTAGCTTATAGATATGCATGCAGATAAGCAGCGCCCCAATTATGAGCCGCAAGCGTTAGGATGGCAAGATGAGCAACTCCAAGCTCTAGAGCCCCCTACACCGAAGCACGGCCAGCCCAAAATAGGCCAACTTAGCTTTAGGGCAACTTTAGGGTTCAGGGTTTATAGGGCTCTATTCGAGGCCATGAGCTCCACGTGTCGAGCTGTGAAATTGCTTCTGACCAGGCGATACACCAAAAGCCTAGCGATTTCGACGCCATGTGCCTGCATAGGGTGGGCGTTTCTTGAGCGAAAGGGTTCAACTTCTGTCCACAGCCCGGATTCCATCTTGCAGAGATCCCGCCGATAGCAGGACACCTCGTTCACAAGCTTCTGATATGTGTGTATGTATATATATATATGTGTATATATATATAGATGTATCACACACACACAGCTCTAACAGCCAAGCTCTCTAGCCATGACTGTCTCGGATTGTCTAACTACTATTGCTACGCGACTACTAAACTACATACTACATACTACATACACCACATTCTACTACACTTTGCAGGGCAAGGGCCCCTCCATCGTGCTGCGCGCGAGGGCGCAGTGCTGGGCTGAGGATTCTGCAATAGACGAGAGCTTC